CCCCAAAACCCCAAAACCCCTCTATTTTAATGTATATCCAATATAGCAAATGAAAATTTAGATTAATTAAATTAATTTTAAATGGAATAAGCAAGTAAGTGATTTCCCGCTTAAAATCTCATAAACAAATTGTTACATAGATTAAGGAGACATAAAAAGAATTGACAAAGCCTCGATACTGTAGATTTGCAGCAGCTAGGTCGTGATAGATTTAAAGAGTGCAGTAAAAGAACTGGTAGAGAATTCTCTTGATGCTGAATCAACATCAATAGGTAAATACTTATCAGAATTTCTAATCTTAATCTTATAATTTCTACTTTTATAGATATTAAATTTTACAACTATGGGTTAAATGGCTTTGAAGTTATTGATGATGGACATGGGATAAAAGAAGTAGATTTTGATGTAATTGCAAAAAGAGGCACAACCTCTAAGATTAATGAATTCGAAGATATATATGCTGTGAAGAGTTTGGGGTTTAGAGGTGAAGCTCTAAGTTCTCTTTGCAACATAGCTAATGTTACCATTTAGACAAAAAGACCAGACTAAAATACTGGATGGCTATTAAAATTCAATCATCTGGGTGATGTAATATAAAAAGAGCAAGTTGCAAAATAAGTAAGAATTATGAATTGATCAATTTTTAGGATGGAACATCTGTTATTGTGAAGGACTTATTTAAGGATTTACCAGTGAGAATGCTAGAATTTAAAAAGAATTACAAAACTCAATATGCTAAGACCTTATTGTAGCTGTAGGGGTATGCAATCATCTCAATTGCTTCTAAGATTAGTGTAAGCTATAATCTTGGAGATAAATAGTAAGCGTTTAAATATATATTACAAATATATAGACCTTTCACCTCAATTTTAAGAACCAATCCTCTTTAAGATAATTCAGATAAAGCTCTAGCTAATAACATTATTACAGTTTTAGGAAAACCAAAATTTCAATAGTTAATAGAGTTCAAAGCTGACTTGCCCAAGGTGAAAGTTACAAGTTTTATAACTAAAACTGTTTTAAGTGGGAGTATGAATAACAATAAAATCAACAAGGATTTCACTTTCTTCTACTTGAATAAGAGACCAATAGATATGCCAAGAAAGTTCAAGCAACTCTTTTCAGAGATTTATAAAATTTACAATCCTTCAACAAACCCTATAATTGTTATGAATATTGATGTTGAGGATAATAACTATGACATAAATGTTTCACCAGATAAAAGAGACGTATTTCTTAAGAATGAAGAAGATGTTATCTAGGCTCTGAGAATAGAATTACAGTAATTTTTTGAAAATATTCAAAGAACCAAAGCCTATGATAGTTTCTAGGCCCCTTAAAGTCAAAGATAATCATAATTAATTCTTGGGTCAAAGTCATCTAATGACTCTAAGACTAAGAGTGATTAATAATCTGATGGGAATAGGGAAACCCTGTCAGAAACAAACTGGATACAATCTAAAAGGAGAGTCTATGATGATATCTCAAATGATAATTATAACCATTAAGATGCATAGAGTGAATAATTAACTCCTAACAAACATAAACTTGAGGGAAAGACTATCACAAAGTCTAAATAAAGTTTCTAAGAATGGGATGGGCATTCTGATATCAAAGTCTTAAATACTATAGATAGATAGTAAGAAAGTTTTAATAGATAAAGAGAGTGTACACCTTTGATAGATACTAAGTAATATCTTGAAAGACTAAAGACTGTTACTTCTTAAAAGTTCTAAAGCGATACTTCTAAGAAATTTTAAATGACTACGTACGAGCCTAAGACGGTTCTTATTTCAAAGAATAATTAAACTGATAATGAAAATATCTTAAACTCTAATCAAATTTAAACTTCCACCAAAACTTTAGCGTCTGGATTAAAACTAACAGAGTATATACCTTAGCTTTAAAAGTAAACATTATCGAGAGGATATACAATTACTGAATTTTCTTTGCCTGAGTTTCCTATTCAAAAGCAAGAAATTGATATAACTGAAGACAGTTAAAGATCAAAAGCAGAAAATCTAATGTAAAAAATGTAAGACTTCTCAGACAGAATTATGAATGGGCAGTAATACTCATAAAACGATAAATAGCAACTATCTCAAGATGATTAATTTTTCAATAAATGTATGGACGACTATTCCAAAAAATTGGCAATGGAAAAGGAGAAAATTCTGAATGCTGAAGCCCAAATGGATATGAATACAGATCTTCGGAATTTTGAAAGTGCTGTTAAAAATTAACTGAGAAGAGAAAAACTAATACTCTAATATTAAAATGAAAATAATGACGATTAATTCTAGGAGGAATCTTTTCAAGAAATTATAAGAAAGCAATTAAACCAATTAAAATCAAGTCAAGAAATAACTTAGCAGGATTCAGAGTAAATTAATGTTATTACAAGTATGAAGATGCTTCAAGAGTCTAAAAATATTGAATCAAAAGAAGTAGGAATAGACTTTTCAATAGAATTAATTACTTTAAACTTAGAACTAAATCAATAATATAATGAAAAACATTAGTAATAACATTAAAAAATTCTTGATAACCAGTTTAACCTAGATAGTGCTAATCTGTAAATGGATGAAAAGACCTTGCAAAGAATGTTTAAAAAAGAAGATTTTAAAACTCTGAGAGTAATCGGTTAATTCAACAAAGGATTTATAATGTCAGTTCTTAATGAAGAAGACCTTTTTATCCTAGATTAGCATGCATGTGATGAGAAATATAATTTCGAAAAATATTCAAGGACTTCTGTAATAGATACCCAAGATCTCATCAAGTAAGCTAATTTATTAATAAAAATTCTAATATAGTCCAATACAAGTAGAATTAAGTGTTACTGATGCTTTAGCAATCAAACTACACAAAGAAGTCTTTAAAATGAACGGATTCAAAGTAGAACCAAAAGAATCTGATGATGAAATGAATAACTTATTTCTAATTAAAAGTTTACCACTTATTAAGAAAGCCAATTTCACTGTTGATGGTAACTACTTTAGTTTCATGTTTTTTAGATTTTTATGAATTGCTGAGTATAATCAATTAAAATCTAGATTTTGATAAAGAATAGTCTTATTAGGCTAAGGAGGGAATGCTTCATAAGGAAATTATGAGACCTTCTAAAATTTACGCAAATTTAGCTTCTAGAGCATGTAGAACAAGCATTATGGTTGGAACTGATTTAGATTAGTAAACTATGAAAAAAGTTGTTAATAACCTAGCAACACTTGAAAGTCCTTGGAATTGTCCTCATGGAAGGCCAACAATGAGATTTTTGAAGAAACTAGATTTGAATTCATAAAGCAGACTAAAGAGATAACCCCCAAATTTATTAAGAAATTGAGATTTACTAAGCAAAAAAATATAATTAATTAATGAATATTGTTGCTTTTGATTATTTTTAATAAAACTAGAAAAAGATCATGGGGTTTTGGGGTTTTGGGGAGATCGGAAGAGCGTC